TGTTGTTCAGCATCTTAGCTGTGGAGGGCAGTGTCACTGGCCCTCATATGTGGGATCCGAACCAGGGCCCTCTGGCGTCCCAAGCCAGTTCTTAACGAACGCGCCACTCGGCCGGCCCTGCTAGGGATTTTTTGAATTCATTCCTTCAACTTTCCTTTGCTAATACTATTCTCAAGGTATTCATGGGGAATACAGTAGGAGCGGGAAGTGCTCGACAGGAATAGGAAGAAACATTCCATGCAGAACAAATAGCCTGCATGACGATACTTGTGGCACAAATATATCAATGTTTGTACCACAGGGAGTTGGCCGAAGAGACCTGGGACCTGAAACTCTGGCTCTCTGACCTCATGGACTTTTGACTCAGATCTTACATACAGGAAAGCATGGTGCTTGTTTCATGTTAGACTTAGTAATTATTAATAGGTTTATGTTGACATCTGTAGCCGACCAGTGTAACATAGAAATGCCCAATGTATATGATCATTGAATCACCTGAGGCACTTGCATTGGGTTTATAAGACCTTCTCCAGGAAGTTCTGATGCATAGGCCTGGGTAGGACCCACATGTGGACATGAATATATACTATTTTCAGACCAGGCAGATGATCTCAGCTATAGTTCTATTCTTCAGTATATTACTGTTTGCAAATCATGTATCCTGATTGTGTTTTCGTATTTGTAGAATGGGGGTGTGGACACTGAAGTTTGGAAGTTCAACATTCAGACTTGCTTTTGTTTGTTTCACCACTTGGGTGCTTGATAAGGGGTTCTGGTTTTGCTAGAAAAACGAAACTTTGTTTAGATGCGTGTGTGCATGCACATGTGTGTGACAATTCAGTGACTGATATGATCAAAGTGTTTTAGAGATGCTGAAATATGGAGGCGATTTTTAAGGACATTCTGGACACTGCTTTCTACCTGTATCACTAATCCTTAATGATGGTTGGTTACTGCTGTTGGTCATATCCCCAGACTTATATAAAAACATTCTCGGGTCATTATATATTAAGCTTTAGATAAATACTTGTCCTGTGGCTGGAACACTGGACTTGAGACCACTCTGGCATAAAAAAGCCATTCCAGGAAGCATTCCCTTCCCCAAACATTGATGAATTTTCTTTTCCTTTAACATCATGAGCAATCTATTCACTCTGCTTTTGGAAGAAAGAGCTACTTAAAAGAAAAAGCTTTTGGGAAGTAGTGGGCTACTTCTTCAACCTACCATAAAACTTCTCTTCCAGGCTGCGAGAAAGCAGGGTACGCAACAGAGCGATGCAACTGTAAATCTTTGTGTTTGTGTCTGCCCTTCGGGAGGCTTCTCTCTACTTGAATAGCATCAACTTCCTTTGCAGCTATTTAGACCAGAAGCCAGGAGGGAGCAGCTGGCCAAGTCTAATCATCATGGCAGTCTCCATGAAAGGATTAGAAAGCTATTCTAATCCATTAGAATAACTCATGTAGCTTTAGATATAAATTGACTCTACCACAAACCCCGCCACAATGAAAAAAAGTCAAACCATATTTTTTGCTGGCGTCAAAGGAGCCTGAGGTGATGATCACAAAACGCATTCCCTGTATTTTTCTTTTGGGAGAATGGAGAGGGGGGCGACAAAGAGAAAGACACAGAAACAGACCACTGCTAAGCGCCAACCACTGGCTTCACACTTTACACTGTCATCTCCTTTAACCTCTAGAAGAATCTGGCCAAGCAGATATTATCATCTGTATTTTAACTGACCAGCAGCCAGAAGGTTAGGAATGTTAACAAGGTCACACAGTGGTGTGGAAACCCAATTCCAGATTTATCTGACTCCAAAACGCTGTTTGCCACCAGCATTAGCACCATTATTCACAATACCTGTTTCAAGCTGACAGAGGGGAGACATGCAGTTCATAACTTAATCCATAAACCGAAGTGACCAGGAAACTGAAGCATAGTTAAGGTTATATAAATCTATGAAACAGTTTCAGAGAATCTGACTTCCTTGTTCACAACTAAATTACTTTATCACCCTCAATAAACAGAGTATCACACCAGGCTATCTCTATTCCTCAGTATGGTATTGGGTCATCAGGAAAGTCATGATGTGTTTTTCTAACTTTTTCAATACAAAAATGCATCATGACTTTCCCGATGACCCAATAGAATGTTATCAAAGCATCAAACTACTCATTGAAAAGTTCAATAGGCACTTTATAGATCAAGCCTCAAACCCCACACTAGGCACACAAGCAAACAGGTGGGTCATAGAAGGGTTCAGAATATAGGTGTATTTTCATGGTCCTCAGCTATATATGGAATGTGGAAAAATATCTTTTTCAAAGGGAATCGTGTGTTTTCCAACATGTCAAAATACTGACTAGTTCAAAACACTGAACTCTCAGTATACTTGTAAACATACGGAAAACTTAATAAAGAAGAAATCACTGCCTGTGTTAAGCACTTTTGTCATAGTTCTTGAAATCTTTCCAAAATTGCTGTAAGATTTTAAATTAGTATTCATTCAAAAACAGGTTTTGCAGGAAGTAGCTAGAAATAAAAACTATGGAGTTAGTAATTGATTACTTCACAAAACACACTCATTTTATGGTTTTATGATTTACTCTAAACAGGTGAATCTTTTCATCTTTTGAGAACATGATAAAAAGTAAAAGTGTTATGCAATTAATTTTCTTTAAGTATTACCTGCTAACTGAAAAAAATCAATAGATATTATTTTTCTACGTACTAAAAAAGACTTGAAATGTTTCTTCTAAAAAAAATATTAAGGCCATTTCATATGAAATTAATTATAAGCCTGATCTTAATCATGCTTATTCACTGGATTCACCTATTATACAATGATAATTCATCAATTATTAAAGTCTTAACAGAGAATAAATTGGTGAATGTTAAACAAATTCGAAGATGTTTGTATAACAAGCATTTGCAAAATATAGTTTTTATATTTATGATGAGCTATGGCTTTGTGTTACTCTTCTGTGCAAGTATTTAGAAGATCCCTAAAAGTTTGAATTCTATCACAGAGTTTTAATGGTCTACAGCTCTTCTGTATTTCATTTTAAAATCATATACTTTAATTCTGAATAAAAGTATGGGTTTCTGTAAGGAAAAATGAACACTACTACTTCTCTTCTTTATAAAAAGAAACGACTATCAAGACTGTTAATTTCGCAAAAACTCTTAATGCATTCAAATGTGCTTAGGAATGGAAGAGAAAGAGTATTCTCATAATTGCTCATTTTGACAGATTACCTGGAAGATTTATAATTCAGTCACAAATACATCAACACACTTTCACATTTTAATGTCCATCCTATAAAGAGACCCTTCAACTTCCAAGGCTCTGAATGAGCAAAAAAGTTGAAATATAGTGAGTTATCATGTTACCCATAATGATGTAATGAAGATGTGTTAACATGCCATGAAGTCAACTCTAAGCACATTTGAATGCATAAGAGTTTTTGTGAAATTAACAGTCTTGATAGTCGTCTGTTTTTATAAAGTAGTGTTGTTCATTTTCCCTTACAGAAACCCATACTTTTATTCAGTTTTAAAAGGTATATGATTTCACAAATGACATACAGAAGAGCTATACCATGAAAGTAAATATTTAGCATCTCTGAAAGTAATTAATCCCAAAGAAAGTTAGCAGAGTTTAATTTACACCAATAAGTAAAATGGAATGACTTATCCTTGTAAGTGGTAATTTAATGTTGCTCTAACGTTCTTCTAACAGATTCATTGATTTTCTAAATCAGTGATTGGCAAATTGTTTCTAAAAAGAGCCAGATAATGAATATTTTAGGCTTTCAGAGCCAGACAGTCTCCCTCACAATTCAATTCTACCATTGGTGTGCAAAAGCCGCCATAGACAATGTGTAAGCGAATGGGCATGGCTGTGTACCAATAAAACTTTATTTACAAAAATGACATGGTGGCCCACTTTGACACTTCCTGTTCTAAATTATTTGTTCCTTAAGCTCAGAGGTAGTATAGCTTATGAGCACAAAATAAGTTTAGTCCCTTGAACACTCATACCTAGTTGATGGCTAAACCTTTTCTCCCTTTTCTTCTGGGCTCTTAGCTACACCCCGGCTTGGCTGGGCTGCCAAATATACATGTGGTTTAAGGCTACATGTAAGCCAAGTTTGATAACAATACAAAGTATTCTCCCTAAGTGACATGGAGTCAGCCCATGGTCAGAGGTCATGACGTCTGTCAGGAAAGCTGCCTTGTAATAGGTATTAAATGTTAGACCTGCTCTGAAAGAACAAAGGTAGATGTGGTCTTGGAAAAAATAAATAAACCAGGCAAGGAGCAGAGGTCAATAAATGACCGAGGGTGGTGTGGGGAGGATGAGAGTGAACAAGCCCTATAAAGGAATAGAGGAGAATTACTGGGCAGTGTGGACCAGTGGTGAGGAGCTGGGGCTTTGGAATCCCAACTCGGCCACTTTCTTAGAGAAGTTACTCAAACGTTCCGTGCCTTATTTCCTCATGGGATAAAGTGGGGATAATAACAGCACCTGCCTCACAGGACTGTGATGAGGTTGGCAGGAACTACAACAAGCAGCACCTGGCATGGAGAAGAGTGCCTGGCATGTTGTTGGAACTCAAGAAAACGTCAGAAAACCAAGAGCAGAAGAAAAGCGTCAACCACGCAGGGCAGCTGTGCTGAGGTAGCCAAAAACTTCCAGCTAAAATTTAAGTGGAAGGAAGTTATTTACATTTCAGGCTTCAAGGATACAAAATTTCTTCCAGTAAGAATTTCTAGTCATAGCTGCTGACTAGATATTACCAAAAATTGAAACCTCGGTCCTGAGAATGTGATGTCATTTCTTACAGCCTTCCTCAGCAATATGGATTTACTTTGATATAGAATGCAATATATACAAGATTTTTGAACATCAATGTAAGGAGAGGCCATTAATAATCAAGGATAAAGGAACAGAAAGAAGAATGCAGAACCAAACATAATTCTCAACCCCTAAGCTGGGGAACTAGCGAGATGGTGACATTGGGAGTGACAGGAAAGTTAGAAGAGTGGGAGAGGAGTGGTGGCAGAATTCTTAGTTTCCAACTGCCAGGCCAACAAAAACATGAATTTCCTTTCTGGATGTTTGCCAGATTAATTCAGACAATTTTTGGGAAATTGGATAAGTGGCTGAAGATTATGGTAAAAAAAAAAGAGAGCGAGAGAGAAAGAAAAGTGAATTTTGGATTATGCCAGTAATTCTTTCAGACACAATGAATAAATAACTCATTCTACTGAAAATCCAAGTCTCTAAAGATAACTAAGAGTAAAGCAACATAGATGAAAGAGTTTAAACTGTCATCCTGAAATCCCCCATCCCTCCTCACTCTTTCATCTTTGTGGTTGGAATGGGGATGACAAAGTTCCCAAGGTCAAGGGCACTGCCACACTTCCTTCTTGTTCTCTTGAGCCTGGATTTCCCACAACTGGTGGTGAATGGGAGGCAGAGATTACTGCTTTTGCATCTGATGAGAAGTCATAATACTCATCTTTCCTGTTAATTTCCAGGTCATTCCAGCAGCAACGATGTCCTTGGCAGCGAGAAAAAGAGCATGCTGTAACAACAGAATCGGGGTGAGTATGGTGCAGATGGCCTGGAGGACAAGTGCAGACAAGAGTCATGCATCTAAGCAAAGCCACCTGGGTGGTCAGTAGCTACCAAATCACTGTATGGTTCCAGTGGCAGGAAGGACCAGTCTTAGAAATGTAGTATTTAGGAGGATTACATCATAATATGGAAAAGTGTAAAGTTTTTCTTTTTTTTTAAGTAAAAATTTAGCTTTGGACCCAGCCTCAGGCCTTTCCTCAATCTTCAGTTTCACCAATCTAAAGGTTTTCAAAGCACGATGTATCAGTCACGCTCAGAGCGGTGTGTGACTTGTTACTTTTGTGGTCTGGATAAAATACTCAGGAAAAATGAACCCTCCGTTCTCTCATGCATATGAAAGATTGGTTCACTAGCTCCGAATGTCAATTGCTCTTGTCCACTTAGACAGCAGTTATTTTTCCCAACATTTAGCACACATGAATAAAAAAGTTTAACTAAGTTAAAAGTAAATTCATCCTTATGAACCTTCTGTCACTATGCTCAGAACACTTTCAAATATGCTATCTCACTTAATTCCCTCAAAACCCTTAAGTGGGAATATTATGACCTTTGTTTTATTGACTGAGAAATTGACCCTCAGAGGAAGCAAATAACTTGCCGGCGTAGCACAGCTAATAAGTGGAATTTTATCTGAATCATTCAGACTCCCAAATTCAGTCTTTACTATTGGGTTGTTGGAAGTCATGATGCATTTTTGTAATGGAACACATAGAACAATACGTCATGACTTTTCCGACAACCCAATATTTATGTCATGAACATGGTTCTTAAGTAACACCGAGGGCTCTCAGAATTCTCTAAGGGATGAGGTAGATCAATAACTAACAGCCACAGTAAATATTCCTGTCTGAGCTTGAGGCTTTAAAGCAATGGTTCTCAGCCTGATGGGAACAGTAAACAGTACAATCACCCGGGAAGAGCTTAAAAATCTCAATGCCTTGTGTCCTCAGAGAATCTTTGTCAGTATTTTTCAAAAGCACCCCAGGTGATTCTAATGTGCTCCCAGGGGTGAGAACCACTGTTTAAAAGGGTACATGTTTACTTCATTACACATGTATATTCCTAACAGTTAGGAAATTTATATTTTAAAAAGTACCTTTTCCTGACATTTGATATTTTTCTAGGGTTATAATTACTTTGCTAATTATCTATAGTCTATCTTTGTTCCTGATACATTCATTGTAGGTATTCAATAAATATTAGTTTTTGGGTTCCCCTCCATCTCTTTTTTTAAACTACCATAATTTGCAGTTGGATTTTGCATTACCTCTATATTGCATTCAAAACATTCTTGAGAAAAATATCCTGAGATATTTCTGAATCCCCGAACTCAAAAATATCAGAATACTTATATAGATTTTTCTTTCAAATCACATTTCCATTAAGAATCTTCTTTTTGTGAGATTTATCCCTAATTTTATATATATATATATATATATATATATATATATGTTTCAGGTGTACAAAACAATGTAATAGACATTTACACCCCTCACAAAGTGATAACCCCCCTTCCCCAATCTACTACCCCTCTGACATCGTATATCGCTGTTACAATTCCACTGACTCTATTCCCTGTACTGTACTCCATATCCTGTGACTACATATATATTAAATTAGAGTAGGCATTCAGTATTCAGCTTCAGCTTCAGGTGTACAGCACAGTGGTCAGGCATCTACACTGTCCATGACGTGGTCTCCCTAATAAGACAAGTGCCCATCTGATACCCTACAAACCACTTTTTGATGCAGATATTGGGCTTCACTCACCAAGAGTAGCAGCTCTGCCATAGTAACCCTGAAAATAATGGGAACTCATGCTTCAGTAACATGACAGAGTCACACGCTGGGGGGCCCCTGAGGGCGGGGGTGGGGGCGCACTGCTCTGCTCTATTATTAACAGCGGTGCTGGCTGCTTAATCAAAACCCCCAGCTCATATTGATTAGGTGCAATAGAGAGATATTTTCTCACTTGGTGGCAGCCATATGAGGACTGGTGTTTAAGTCATACCTCGTATCTTTCAAGTATAGATAAGACGAAAGCATCATCAAACACAAAGGCTAGACCTTCGGAGGGAGGGGAGCAGGTTGCCACCAAGGCTTGCCCCCTATTTTAACTGTCCCCACTGTTCCCCCTCCTTTAATTGTTCCATGCTCCTTCCCTTTGTCCAGCTGTTGATTTTGTTTCTGAATACTTTGGTCCTGAGGAGTCATCTAAATGAAGCCCCACTCTAAGGAAAATACAGATCTTGGAATCATTTTCTAAAGCCAGACTCTCCCTAGTGGTGACATCAGAAATAACAGATGACTGAAATAAAAAGAGTGGCACTTCTGGATGAGCAAATTCCAGTAACCTACACAGGCCACAGTAGCGCGGAAGAATCAGGATATGAGTTAGACCCCAAATCCATCATTCTGTAGGGCAGTGATTCTGAAGTGTAGGGGTAGTGATTAAACCCTGGGCACTAGTGCTTAACAGCTGTGAGATCCTGACACCTTGTCAACCTCGGAACTGCAATTTTTCTCCTCCATAAAATGGGAATAATAGTATCTACCTCCCGGGGTTATTGAAAGAATTGTAAAGCCCTAGGTCCTTTGACACATGCTATAGCCATTTATTCTGTACACTCATTAAAGGCAGGTCTGAAGAACACAACACGTGATCCCTCTAGGAGCTGTAATATTATCTCACCAAAGAAAAAGCATTCCTTACCTTCATTTCTGCAGATTTTAAAATATAAATATCATTGGAATAACACACTGAAACAACACAGAGCTTTTTGGAAAATATATACATACACCAACTTTCATTTGGGCCATAATACTTCGTAGTATCAGATTTCATGCTTTTGCAGCCCCCCTCACACACACATTTAGCAAGGCCTACAAAGATTTCTGGTTGCTACAACTGGGCGGGTGGGTGTGCTGCTGCCATCTAGTGGATAGAGACCAGCGATGCTGCCAGACAGCGTACGACGCACAGGGAAGGCCCCGAAGCAAGATGCCCAAACGCTGGCGGTGCTGAGGTTGTGGAACCCTGTTCTGACAGTACGCTGTTGATTGAGCAATACAAGAGGCTGACCACTGGCCACTTACAACATTGGAGCCAGACCCAGATTAAAGATTTGGGAGACAAGAAACCAGACATCGAAGGGTGGGTGGTCAAGACCAAGTCAAAGTTCGATGAAGTAGGAAGTACATCGAATAGGAAGGAGGAAACAGATCTCACTGGTCAGTTGAAATGGATGAGGCTCAGGCACATACAAGTTCAGGATTTTCAGAAATAGCGGTAAGACCAATAATCTTTTTAGAGTCTAATCGCATGGCAGATACTGAGCCCTCTGTCTTTTAGAATCCACACCTAATCAGACTGTGACCTTCAGATCTAGGACTATAAGGTGGCTGGAGAACCGCAGCGGTTGATTAACGACTTACATGCACCGCCAAAACTTGAGACAGACAGGAACCCGCCATCACGTGCCAACATGCTTTTGTTTTTCAGATGTTCCTTTCTTCGCTTTGGAGTGTGATCACAATCCTTGGTGCCGGGTACTGCATGGCGGTGTCCCTCCAGGCTCTCTCAGAAGGCCCGCTCGTTTGTACCTCTCAAGACAACAGCACTGCCAACTGTCAATTTTCATTAGGAAACTTCAGGTGAGTCACCTTCCACTGACTGTCTTACACAGCAGGCAGCTCGATCAGACTAGTGTGGTGCTGACACGGTGCCATGTTTTTCCCGGACGGAACTACTGGGAAAGATTTGTAGGGGCTCAGCACATTAATTCCAGTTGGCACGACCTCATAAAAATGGAGGAAACCCTACATTCTGACTGCTTTGGGTACTACGGTCTTGTCTAAGGAGAGTAAACTGACTCAGGTGGCTTGTCTTTTAAAACTCTGTGGCTGCGTATGTGTGTATAAACAAATTCTGTATGTATACAACAAACTTAACTTTCACCCTTTGTGAGGGTGATGGAGGACGCCCTAGGGGAAGGTGGGCACACTGACTCTCAACACTTCTGAACTAATTTACAAGCCCCAAGCATAGATGACCTTTATACTGTTAAAAATTGAATAGAAACACAATAAAAATTAGAGCCTATCAGCCCTGAAAGAAACCAAGCAGCCAAAAGATTCATGCAGACATACTATAAATAGATGGTAGGCATAGGAGTGAATCAAAAGTTTAAGTCATGTCGTAACAAATAATACCGAAGACTTACATATCCATGGTTCCTTTCAGTCTTGTTGACGGTTTTGTGCCTGAATCTAAGCACGATTTGCAAAACTGAAAGGAAAGAACAGTCTGACTCACTGGTTATCGATATGCTGCTCAGGTTGGAAAAGAACCAGATTTCACTTCTGTAGTTACATAAAAAATGTTTTTTCCTCCTTTTCCCTTATCTTGCTACATTAAAAAAGAAAACTCTCAAAATTTACACATTATCAGCCAAAATCCAAAGAAAATGCCCTTTATGAACAGATTTGAACTATAAAATTAGACTGTAACCACAATGCTCTACACATCCATCCCTGAGCAGATGACAATCAGCGTGCAGCAGGCACCAGGCTCAGCTCGGGAGATAACAGCACTCCCGGCATTCCCACTCTCGTTGGGGTGATAGAGTCGACATTACCCGAGTGATCCTAGGTTTGCTGCAAACTGCAAAAAGCATACTCATATTCCATGTGCTGAAACACCTGGGTTTTCCCAGGTTACATGCCAGCTGCTGGCGCCCCAAATGCAAACTCCCTAAGAACACTTAGTCCTACTCCGTAGAAAACCAGATAGATGTGTTAGGGCTGCAAGTTTCTCACTTTCTATACCTTGTTACAACGGGCCCAAATCGCTTCAATTAGACAGATTTAATGTGTCTTTTCTGAGCAAAATTTGTCCATCTGGATGAACAGCAGATGCAACACTGAGGATTTACACTAAGCACTGGTCTCCTTCGCAAGGAAAGCTCATGTATTTTTCTATCTTTGGTGAGTAGGTTGAACCCCAGGCAGTCCTTGACCTCCAGGCACTGTTGGCATAGGGAATTTCCCATGGTTCCACCTAAGAGCAGGTACTATAGAGATGTTGAATGAGGAGATACAATGAGCAAGTTTTACAGCTATTAGAGCGCCAGGACACATGCTTCAAGCCCTGAGCTTAGCTTAATTTCTGGGCAGTTATTTCAAAAGTATTGTTTACTCTGCTTGTCCTTATTCTGGGCACGATGTTGCCTTCTTTGGAGGGCCAGTGACATTCCTGAATACCTTCCCATTTCTTTCATTTTGCAGTGACTTTCATGATGAATCCTTCAACCTACAGTGGTTCTTCAATGACTCTTGTGCGCCTCCGGGTGACTTCAGGCCTCCCATCGCGAGTAACACCTCCATGGACAGCAGCGGCTTATACTTCACTTCGAAAGAAAACACACACAGAATTATCCACTTCACAGTATTTTTAGGGCTGCTGCTTGTGGGAATTCTCGAGGTCCTGTTTGGGCTCAGTCAGATCGTGATTGGTTTCCTGGGCTGTCTGTGCGGAGTCTCAAAGCGAAGAAGTCGAGTTGTGTAGTTTCACGGTGATAAGATGGGAATAACAGCAGGTGGAGTCATTTGAGAATTACATTTAAGACACTCTTTAGAAGTTAGAAGTTCAATAGTAGAGCATTATCTAGAAAGCTGTAGGAATCATTTTAGTCCAAAAGGTTTTTAAAGTCACCTTTAAGGTAATTAAAAAAAAAAATCCACCTTTTACATATAAAGTGTAACGCTTTCATATGGAAAAGGAAAGCTCCCAGCAGCTCACCGCGGGGCCAGGAAAGCGATCCATTTGTTCTGTATCTTTCTGTACTATCTGAACTTCCTAACTATATTCTTGTGTGTGTAGAGAGAGGGGAGGGGTAAGGAAACGAGAGACCGGGAGAGAAGGAACAGAGGTCATCCTGGAAGTGAAAGTATGGGACCTTTTTCTTGTAGTTCTTTATATTTTCAGAAAAAATAATAAATATATAACCTAAATCAAGCTTGTAGACTGAATTCCTACCTTACAGGAAATCCAGGGAAAGAGACATTTTCAGACAAATTCTAAAAGGGGAGGGGTCAATAAATACACAATAGACTTCTGTTTTCAACAAGAAAATGTACAGAAAAAAATAAAAGGAGGGATGAGTTGGGGGAGCTATTCAAGATTAAGAGAACAAAGAGACGTGATTCAATTCATGTATTATGTGGGCCTTGTTGGGATGACTGAGGAAAAATGTATAAGGACTGGTTTAGGTAATATTAAGGACTTGTTACTTTTTTATGTTTGATAATGGTTTTATGGTTATACAGGAAAATGTCCTTATTTTTTAGAAATGTGTATTTATGTGCTTGGGAGAAAATGTTATGTTTTTAAAACACTTACTTAAGTAATAGGTATATGTTGATTCATTATACTCTTCTATTTTCCTATATTTGCATTTTTCACAATTAAAAAACAATAATACCTAGAAAAAAGTCAGTCTTTCAAAACTGGTTTCTCTATATGACAATTTTTAAAAGGCAGAATAACAAAACAGTGTATTTACATTAGAATGTTATAAAGCAGACAAAACTAAAAATCTTGTTTTCTGAATGTGATCATTCCTGCCATTTATTTAAATTATTTGTTTACTGGGCTTAAGATTTTAGAACTAACTTTTACAATACTTGTACTGTAGCTGCCCCTCAAAATCAATAACATCAAGAACTTACAGACATTATTTTCTGAATCTATCTGCTATATAAAGGACTTCTCCTTATGCTCCTGTAAATATCTATTTATCCTTAAGGTCTAGCTTAAATATTTCCTACTTGAGGAAGCCTTCCCAGAGGGCTTCCAACAAACTAAGTTAGCACTTCCCCAAACCACAATGATCACACCTGTCACAACGGAACATACATGCTTTTATTTGTACGTCCATCAGTATAAGAGCATTTAACAGGGACCACCATGTCCTTTCCATCCATTGTTCATCAGCTCTTCCCTGCTTCAGGTGAGCAGGCGTCTCCCTGCCCAGGCCACAGCCCCCAGCATCTAGTCTCCGGCCAAGTCCTCCCAACCTCAGCACAAACCTCGCTTTCTCCAAGAGGCCTTCCCTTCCCACCTCATGAAAAGCAGCTTCCCTTTTACTCTCTCCTTTAGCGTTCTTTCACTTAGTCCTCATCACAGTGGTGGTAGCATTTTATTTGTGCCTATTTCTTAAGTTTCACTCTCCCCCATGTGACCGCCAGCTCCTCGGGTGCAGGGATCTGTTTTTTGTTATTCACGCCTGGTATACTCAGTACCACGTACAATGCCTGACACCAAGCAGGGCCATCAAGAATACTTCGTTGAGTGAATGAATGAATCCTATCTTTGCTACTCGGCTTTGAGGAAAATGCTTATTAATAGAATGGCAAACGGCTAATAGCCACCACGTTTAAACACAAGTAAAATGAACACGACAGCTCAGTGTGTGCAACTGACTGAACACAAAGGTCAATGATGGTGCACAGTGTTCTCTGCACTCTGGGAGTGGGGGAGGTGACCTGGGTCCCTACAGGGTCACAAAGAGACAGGCGCAAGCCTCCCACTTCAGAGGCCCGAAGAAAGGACAGTTCACAGCAGCACAATCAGCTGAAATCACTGCGAAGTTACTGCTTTGCTATTTCAGTTTTGTGGAAACTGCTGCCATGAATTAAATGCCTAAAAGCCTATGGGCCATGCGTGGTTAGGTATCGCATGGGGACATGCCATCTTTGCTCTGGCACCTGAACTTACGAAGGTGTTTGTGTATGCATGTACACACACACACACACAATGCACTCAGCCATTTACAAAGCTCACCGTTTTTTATTTCTCACCTCCATCCCCATGTCCAATCTTGTTTTGGAATCTTTACTGTTTTCTTTTTTTACTTTATCCACATGCGAAACAGTCTCCTCTCTCCGTCTTTCAGCATATTATCTCCAATTGCTCTTCCTCAATAAAATTGTTTTCATCAACCTCTAATTCTTTAACAAACATTATTCTCTTCCTCTTCCTCCATTAATCTGTCAATTCCTTAAGAGCAGCATTTGTGGCGTGTCTGCTGTAACCTCCTAGTACTTAGGTCAGTGCTGGGCACACACATCTCTGCTCAGTGACACGCTGAGTAAAAGAACATCTGGAACATTGACATTGTTAAGTAAAAGAACAGTTACGATAAATTAAGCCTTTCCGAAATCGAGGCCCAGAAAAGCAGTTCAATTTCAACGGCAAATACAACTAAGAAGCCGCAAAACAGGCATCCATGCAGGAAAGGAAAGCTCTTCTGAAAATATACTACTTGCATAAAACGCTCTCTCAAAGTGTAAATAACTCGCAAATGCTCCAAGTATTCCTAGGAGAAAACAAAAGCGAACCTTTAAATACAGTTCTGAACATGGTACAACATACTTGCTCTGTTGGCTGTGACGCGACTGAGGGTGTTAGGTGGCCCACCGTTACTGGCCCGACTGTACCATTTTCTTCCACCGGTCCCTGCACCGGGAATCTCTGCTTCATTCTCTGCTTGTTGAAATCCCATATATTTTCCAAGGTTCGGCTCACACACCTAAGAAGTATTTCCTGACTACCCCGATCAGGAGTGCGTTTGCTCCTCTCAACTCCAAAACCGCTTTCTTACAGTGACAAGCACCTTGCAGGGGAGGGAGGCAGCATGGCCGAGTGTGGCTTTGGAGTTAGAGAGGTTCAAGCTGTATTTTCAGATCTCTGGCCCGGTGGACGGGTTTCTTTGTCGTCCCCTTTTGGATAGCTAGTCGACTTCTCATTTACCCTTTCGCTGAGGGAGTGTCTTTTGGGGTCCCAGTTTCACCAGGAGTCTCCTGTTACAGCTAGTGCCTACCCAAGACATGGAACTACAGCCCCTGCCCCCGACACAGCCATTAAGGGAGACAGTTCAGGCCTCCAGTGTTTGGTAAAAAACAGCAAGAAAAATAGCTTCCAGGACTTGTTTTATCAGTGTGTTCAGTTCTCATGACATTTAGTATATTAGCTATATATTACAATGGAAAAACCTTATACAACTCAAGGTATTTCTGTCTACACCACATTATAGATATTACAAACTAGAAAACCACTTGTAGCGCAACCAGCACCTACTACTCACTACCAGGATGAAGATGTGACAGGAAGCACAGGAGGGTCTTGCTACCTGCCATGTCATTAACTGCATTACTTGCTCCTGAAACAGACTCAGGTTCCTATCAGGTAACATATGGTAATAGCTCACAACACAATTTGATGAAACAAAAATCTTTCGATAAAACAAATATTGCTTTGGTTAACAGTTTATTAAATACACTGCAATTATACCTTATTCTATAGGTTTTTTTTAAAATCATTCACACATGAACTGAGTAAAAATGTACTTTATAGAAAACCATCTGCAAAACTAAAATAAGAATGCCCATTTTACACACATATAGGTAAACTGCTGAAAATGTTAGGAACTATTTTAATAAAGGTGATCATGAAACATGAGGTGGCTTGATTTTATTAAATCTGACACAAGACCATGACTTCAGAAGTGCTAATGTTGAAAAGTGGATGCAAACATGTCGATGAACAAAACTGTTTAATAGTGTTTGAGAAACAGGACAAAAGAAAGGGCTATCTCTCTTTTACAGATCCTTTTCTAAATCCATTCCCTACCCCTCTACCATTCAGAGAATTAGTTGTGCAGACTGATGAGGCAAAAAATTAATGCCTTAAAAAAAACCCCAAAACCTAGAGCCTATTTACAAAACATGCAAAGGGAGAAGTTTAGGTAGGTGTTACTGCAGAGCTGGTTAAAAGTGAATACAGCTAAGTTTGACAGACTGCATCTTTACTTCTGCAAATGTAAGTCTTTCCCCTTCTGTTCTGGAAGACATACATTTTCAGGGCATGGACTAGAAAACAGCATACAATGCAAACACAGAAACAGAGAAGTCTGTAAATTTTCTACATTTCCAGCTGCTGAGACGATATTGTTGAGCTGAGGTTACCTCTAGCGGCGAAACCAGAGCCAGCTGTTAAGCAGCCAGAACGCTACGGTGATTGAATACATGACCATTTCTCTTTTAGCACGTTCTTTGTTCTCTTCTTCTAGAAGTTGTAGACGTCTGTTTAGTTTGATTATCTAAGTGAAGAACAACAAAAACAAAATAGAAGCTTTAATGCATGGAATAATCCGATTCTTATAAAGTAGTACAATTTGTCAGAGGAATTACAAACATGGCGAGTTTCAACTGGAGCAAAATAAACAAAACTATATATAGAAAAAAATATTACCCATGACAGTTTCAATTGACTGCCTCTTCTCCCATCTCCAGATTTCTGAGTTAGAAAGGATGCATTTTCCTTCCTTCCCTGATTAGACAGTGAGCGGAGGAGGCTGGCTGTCACATGCTGCCCTTCTGGCAGGAAAGCCTGAGCGCACAGAGTGGGCTCAGCACAGCAGAGAGGACAAGGGCGCCTGTGCCTTTCTAGGCCCCTTCTATGAGTTTCTGTCACTCAGCCTCTGTTTTTCATCTTTAACCTGCTTTCATTTCCTCTCTGTGTGCCTCTCTGATTTACTGAGAGGATCCCACATATTTACCTATTGCAGTGGGCCCTGTGACCTGCCCCCCAGACCTTCAGGGCTGAAAGGCTAGTCCCCCAGCTGCTAGAGTGTCGCTGGTGACAGCAGTCCTCAGCTGTTGGCTTTTGCTGTGAACAGCCCTGGGCTGCGCAACTGCCCTGCCCAAGCTCAGGCTCCCTTCTGTGCAGCGCGCTCCGGCTCTGAAGGGTCCTCCCAGCCTCGGAGCTCCTCGCAGGGCTGGCTGCACACAGCCTGTGTTCTGACTGCACTGCAGTCCGACATTCCCCTTGGCCCAGTCCTGCTTCCTTTCCCTCCCCACAGATGTTAACCTTGAGAACGCTCCCCAGTAAACTTTCTCCATGCACTCTTCTTCACCCCAAAACCTGATTTCCAGGGAACCCAACCTGCAAAGTTTAGGTAAAAACACACTGAGCTCTGAAAGCATGATGGGAGTCCAAGGGATTATCATCGTTATATTGGAGAAGCTGAAGGAGGAAAACTTCTGTAATGCCTAACCCACAGCACTTCAAGGCCTGAGAAGAAATGGGGAAAAAGTCTACTGACGGAACAGACACAGCAGTGCAGGGTGACCATTTTCACAATCTGAACAAGTGCCTCACTTTGATCAGTGCTGGGCAACAATTTTTGTTAGGGCCAATTCGGCAAAAAATAAAAATGCTTAAAGATGACCTTTTCCCTCTATTCAAAGTAGGGGAAAACAGTTTATTCGATCCCATGGGATACTATGTTCTTACACTACCGATCCTATTTTATTGTCAATGAGAAAAACGGCATTGCTCTGAGTCATTAAAATAGTTCTATCTGGGCATACTTGAGAAGTAGCAACCAAGGCAGCCTTTTAATATCTCCCTGACAGTGGAAAACATTTTGCATCTTGAACCTAAGTGACCCATGATGATCTGTTCATCACTCGACTAAATGGACTCCAGACTGCCGAATTCCCAAATTGGCAGCAAAGAAAGCTGCAGGAGTAGCTTCTACTGCTGCCAGGGTCACAAATATGAATTCTGTACAATATTCTTGTGATTCGAGTTTTGTTACTGATCTAAGAAATTCATTGTTTCCCAACTGGCTTTCTACTTCTTTTAAGGTTTCACAGCACTGTGGGACTTGTTTATAATTACTGCAGCTTTGTCCTCTACTATTCACCCTCTAAGTTAAGGATTAAATGAATGTTGTTAAAACACTACATCTCAAATTATATTTTCAGAAAAAACAAGGTTGTTGCTATAATTGTGAGTTCAATGGTAAATACCAAAGAAACCCCTTTCTTCAATAGGCAAAGTATAAATAAATATATGAAAATATGTAAGAACGTACAATATAGCCTCCACTTGTTTTGATAAATGAGACTAAAAATGAAAAAGTAGTATTTGCTTCATATTATCCCTTTATTATATTAAATCTTTAAAATAATATTCTGATTTACTCTTATGCTGGAATATTTAGTTTTTGGATCTTTTCTTAGAAATACTTTATTTTCATTCATTTCCCCTCCATGTTCATTGGCATAGAAATAATGAGAACATCAAATATGCCTTTTCCACATGTGTGCATGTCTGAGTGATTCTAGAAGCTGTGAGTACCTATTAAAAACATACACATGCAACTGTAGTTCTAAGTAGAACTCGGTATAGAACAGGAGAAACAGCTGTCTAAAGACCCTATGCAAACTGACAGCAGTGTCCAAAACGGGGTTTTCAAACACAGTAACACAGGTCCCAAAGCGACGGCTCTACATTTCAAAATGCCAAGTGAGGAATTTATGGCTTTACTGGTTTGCTAAAATGTCAAGATTCTCTGTTACTGGCCAGGATTACATCAATTCATTCTGGTAATACTGTTTTATGCTGATCAAAACATGTAAATGGTGGTTTAATATGTATCTTTAATCAAAATGGGAAAAATCGATTATGGTTTCATAAATAGCTTGATAGATAAACTATTTCAATTCATGAGCTCCACAGAAGAGAAAATGATAAGATGCTAGAAACCATCACCTTAAGCATTACATGATGATCACTTAGGGTTACGTCTTATTTGGTTCATTAAATACCTGCCGTCTGAGTGAAGCTGCATCCACCGCGGTCATGTCATCTGCAGTCCCTTCAACTGTGTCTGCATTTGCAATGCCATACCTAGCCCACAGAAAGAAAAATACAACTTAATATTAGACTAGAACTAAGGGTTCCTGGCAAGTCACGCAATGTGTTGTGAGACGCTCAAAGGATTGTTCAAAAGACTGGTAATTAACAATCTGAATCACTAAAATATTTTACAATCTGAATAAAGAAATGAAAAGAGAAAAGCTTAAGAGAACAACTACCTTCAATATTGGGAAAGTGTCCTGAAACTTTGAGAATGAGAAGAAAACCCTGACTTAAGATATAAATAAGGAGACGCTTTTCAACTCAGAGGGACAATGCAAAGAGAAAAGCTTAAGAGAACAACTACCTTCAATATTGGGAAAGTGTCCTGAAACTTTGAGAATGAGAAGAAAACCCTGACTTAAGATATAAATAAGGAGACACTTTTCAACTCAGAGGGACTGGCATTGTTAGAAAGGATCCCTGGCTGAAAAGAGTTGAGAGCTGCCCCTCTAGGGTAACAATACACAACCCTTACACACACCTATGTCCATGTGTGGTCCATACAAGTCCCTGCTGAGACTCACTGGCAGGGAACACTAACTCTAGCTAAAAAAAATAAGACTAACCATTTTTTATTTCCCCACCTCCTCTGCGTCTCATTGCTCTTTGCCATTTCTACTCTATACTTCTTATTTCCAATTATTTCCTCTATACTGCATCTCCCACAGAAGCAATTATAAAATCAACCGAAAACATCTTACCACTACATTCAGATCCAGAATTGGCTCGATAACAAATAATTAAGAGGCTGTGTATAAAATAACACTGAAAAGCCATTAAGACAAACTCCAAAGAAAGCATATTAAAAAGTACTTTTTGAATGTTCAAATGCAGTTACTTCTAAAAGGGCAGTGATTTTTAATAAAATGACAATAAACTTCTGAGAAACAAAAACACACAAATGCTATTCTTCCTCTTGCCTGGATTTCCACTTTTTAAATATATTTTAATTAACAGCTTTATTGAGATACAATTTACATACCCTACATTGCACTTCACATATTTCCATCCTTACTCTTTTAATCCTATATGGTTATTTCAGTAAAATGGCATATTAACTTTTCTGAGTGAACAGAATATAAAGAAATTGAATTTAAAAGTTATTTCTATGTAATCTAGAGAGAGTTGGCACATAGACCATATATTCTAACATGGTCAAGCAAGCCCCCATCATAAAAGGCACATTACCACATGAAGGGGGATGAAGAGAATTCTATTTTTCATCAGACATGTTAAAGACAATCTATTTGGAAAATCCTTTTGTTTCAAATACCTTTCAAAATAATCCAGAAATACTTTAATGATTCAGTGTCATCATTCTGAACACTGATGATAAATAAGTGTACAGGTTGTAGTTTCAATGGTAGGTGGAGTGCACTGACTCTGATCATCTAGAACCACCTCTAAATGTGCCTTTGATGGCTAAATTAACTTGCTTTCTTATTAGCTGCCCTTTTTTCATGGGAACAGGTTAAACATCTTGAACACTGAGAGAAACTGCATCAGTTACAGAAGAAAGCTGCTAAGTTAGCAGATGCTGGAACTATGGGCTTACAAACACCTGAATTAATTATTCTTTTGAACATTAAGACAGAATTATTAAACAATTAGTAGAAGAAAATAAAGTTGAAGATTCCTCTTCTCTACCCTTTATCCTCAAAATGAGAACCTTTTGATTTCCATGAGGTCACAATGAGATGGGTAACTGGAAAAAAAAATTAAACTTTACAAGCAAATGCTTCAAAGGTAAAGGACCTGAACTGAACATAGCAAATGAAGTATAACTGAAAGGATTGCTCAATTTCAATCTTGAATTAACCAAGGTTTTCAATATATGTGAAGGAAATCTTCATTTGCAAAGACATCTAAGGATATAGCAAAAATACTTTACCTATATAATTCAACTTAAAACAGACAAAAACATTACTTTACCACGTGTTTTAAACTAAAACCTGTATTTATAAGAACTAAAAACTGTAAGAAATGCTAAGTCAGTTCCCTGGATGAAAATACTTTCACAGAGAGGTAAAAGGATCATCGACTTACTAGAAACATACAAGGAAAGCCGACCATGGGTTGAGTTCACTGTGAAAAAAGACAAGCCAGCAGGGGGCCGGGCCCACTGGGGACACTCCAACTCCCCTCACCCGAATTCACGATTACCGAGAAACTGAGGCTTCCTTCTTTTCTTGCCTAAAAATAAATGCGCCAGCTTCCTCTCATCACGGAAATAATGCTGCCAATTGAAAATCTATTGCTATATTTCTGCTTGAAGTAAACAAAATTGGCTCTGAAAAAATTATGGTAATGTTATCTGTGCGTCTTCCCCCAGGAAGATGGAAAATGGAGAGGTGGGCACTTGAGAACCTGAAGTACTTGTGTGTGCCATTCTATCTGTCCTTGTGCATAACAGACACAAAATCACTCAGGATAAGCGGGAGTGAAAGTGAGAAAGGGGCAAAAACAAGAGAAAAGCTTACATGAACAGTTGACAAAAATTCTTAAAACTAAATTCCCTTTATAAACATTTAATTTCTCCAAACTGTCAATGCTGATTTCCCCAAATTTAAGATGACGGCTTACAGACAAGACAGCATATCTACACATTGAAAGTGACCTGACAGACAATTAACAACTAAAAAGGAAATGCTGGACAGAACCTCTGGCAACAACTAAAACGATGCACGTGAAACAAGATTTAAGATGATTTTTTCTGAGTTTTGGCATGATCTACTATAAGCTATTAAAACTGTGTTTAAATAAAATGTTCAGCCACATGATACTTGATCATCATGAAGCATTTCCCTCTGCCTCTCGTGGCCCAGTGTGGTGAGCGACTACTCCCTGTTCTCTCCGGAAAGCAGGACGCACCCACAGCGGCAAGCTGTAGGACGACTTCACGCCACCGTGGAAAGGCATGGCTACTCCATGCACGGCAGCCGCAAGATACAAACCCAGCCAGAGACTTACCCCAGCAACCACAAAGGCTCAAATTTACCTGACGCTGTCATGATGAGGGTTGGAGGTGGCGGCAGCAGACCCACCACGCAGCATGGGTCTAAGGCAGGTTTCGGCAGAAGCGCAAGACAGAGCCAGGAAACAGAGAGCAACACAATGAAAGCAAAAACAAGACAGGGAAATGTCAAATGGGGTTACATTGTATGTTTCAATACAATATATTTCAAATGCTTTCAGTCTCTTTGTCTCACATGTCCTCCATTTTATGATTTTCATAAATTTAACATTTTCAATGAGTTAAACAACAAAGGGAATCTATGCAACAAAATAGCACCAACATATAAGTTTTCAGGGGGTGGGGTGTTAAATTTTCATTTATGAAATTCAAGACAGAGGACAACTCTGTTTAGAGTATCATTTCTCTCTTCTAGTTGGAAAAAAGATCACCGCCAGCTTTCGAAGCATGTCGGGAAGTGCTCGGTAGCGCCTGCATGGTCATGGTTGCTCGTCTGCCATCCACAGCTCCATCTCGAAAGTGAACAAGTCCGTTCACATAACGCCCATTTCCTACGGCTGCTTCCTCCCCCCTCATTAATTTTGATGAGTGCCTGATAGCTTAGTGTAGCTGTGTCTCCCTCAAACCCTGAGCTCTCCAGAGAAACCTGCAGGCCTCCGTTCTGGAGCCGAGGAGGTCAGGGGACATGCTGAGGGACACACGGCAGAGCGCTGGCCAGTGGCGAGTGTCACCTTGAGACAACCAGGAGTGACATACAGGGCTGTGGGAAATGAAGACTACGGTGCGCTGGAAAACTTTGTGGGGATTTTCACTTAGTCTCAGTCCATGCTGTGTCCAGAGGACAATTTGTTCCTAACCTAGGTAAGCAGTAACCTTTTCCCCAATACATCTTACGTTTTTAAATCAGAAAACAACAGCCCCACAAGGTCACTGGTCAATTCCCCAAAAAGTAATCAGCAATATTTACTAAGCAGAGAAAGGAGGTTGAGGTATAGGACCCACCTAAGGATTTTAAGGATTATTACACTCTCCTTTGAATGTCTCATTCTCTAAGTATTGATCAGGTTTTGCCTGAGTTTAAATATCAAGTCAAACCTTAATTATATTGGGTTGTCGGAAGTCATGACGAATTTTTTTATGTTTTTCGTTGCAAAAATGATTGACTTTTCCAACAACCCAATAGTAAACATTTAATACCAAATGCAGCAATTTTTTTTTTTTTTTGGGGTAAGTTGGCACAGCTGTAGAATCTTGGCTATAACACAAATTGCTATTTTATGTCAATTCAATTTATTCAAGGAAATTTTCACGTTTGGCTTGTATGCTTCCTAAAGGCACTATTGGTGCTTAAACAAATTTCTGGAGCCTAGAGGATAAGAGATTCAGAGACTTTTGGGGGAGACATGTTAGAATTCTATTTTGTTGGTTAAAGAACGCTGAGAAATCATCCCATCCTACTAACACATTTATGATGTGGCATTAGGAAAACTGTTACTAGTTAACTATAATCTTACATTAAATTAACATGAAAATGTTTACCTAAATAAAGCCCATGCTATGTGTTACCTAAAGCTTTAAAAACAAAAAATTCACACTAATATGCTCAGCCGGATCTGCCACAGTCTACACATTCCACCACAGAGCTTTCCCTTTTATAATGCAGAGCCAGAAAATAATACAGTTACCTTTCACAACGCATTTCATTTTGTCTTCTTACACTGGCAATTGACACACATAATATAAAAGTAAATTAGACAGGCATTTGGCAAAGTCAGAAGCTTCATTCAAGTACCACTTTCTACCATAAGTATAATTTAAAACATTAAAAAAAATCTTTTCAAGTTTGATAATATGCTCAACAACATGTTTTGTAATTAAAATGGCAACAGGGACTGAGATCCAGGGATCTACAGGTTTCAGCGTTAACTTGTGTATTAAAATGTGACGTCACAGAATATGTGTTTCTTTGTTTAAAAATAAAAAGGAATCTGCTACAGTAAATAAAACAATTTAGTTGGGGGATCAGTAATTATACACATTTTTTAAAAAGACAAATTATAAATAACAATCACTGTTTCAAGTGCAACTTTGCATTTCTAGGTTTTCCAAATAAACTATTTATAAAGATACTTGCAAAAAATATAAAATTATTTACACATTGGTTTCTTATTCTATTCACTCAAAGCTAAACTGTATAATCAAGTCCCTTCTAAAACTAAAAATTAAGCTGCTAAACATGACTAATCTGTCAATATTTAAATAATGTTCTTACATATGAAGTAAGTCTCTTTTTAAAGGCGTGAATATTTTGCATTGGAGAATGAAGTATGGAGCTCCAGCAGATACTGGAAGATCTGGGCATTTCCTCACCAGCCAAGCACTAAACCATTCCAGCATTTTAAATCCAAAGAGCACATTTGGTGCTTGTCTCCGGTGTTTTGGTCAAGTTCTGATACATCAGTTTTCCAAATGCACAGCAATGACCTGTGTAAACTTTTCTAATGTGTCCCTACAATTTAACTTTGTCTTCACGTTGAGCTTGGTTTTAGATCATGTAAGTTCTCATAAGATGAGAAAATGAAAACATAATATATAAACCTTTCCACAGTGTCCCCTAAAGTGTAAACTAAAAATAGTTCTTATGTCAAGCAACTGTGAATCTGCATTATTTTATAACAAAGCAGGCAGAAGGTCGGCTTCTTCTCTCCCTGTCAAATAGTTCGAGCTTAATTTAGTTATCCCTAATGTGATGGCACAAGGCCAAAGATAAGATATTGCATTAGCGAAACAGCCAAGAGCAATCAAATAGAAAGGAAAAAAATGATATACACAGCAAGAAACATAAAAGCATTTAAAACTTTATAAGCAGTATTATTTTATAATCATGCAAGTAGACCATTATCCAAATTTCACATTCCTAGTTCTTACATCTGAAAAGTCATGTTAAACAGTTCTCATGATAGAAATAAACATTGACTTAGTACTTACGATTCTGATTAAATCTTGTTCAACATTTAGATTGCAAGAGATTTAAGTACAATGATAAAAACTCAAAACCCTTTCAATAATGAAAGTTCCAATAAGACTAATGAGAACCTAACCCTTTAGGCTCCAAGGTTAACTAATGGGGTGCATCCAGGAGCGAAGAATTATCAATACAACTACTTGATGATTTAAAAAAAATATATCTCATTTAAGTGAATAAGAAAAGATAATTCCTTCCCAGAAAAGGGATAAATACAAAGTAAATTTCACATTAGTAAGATTTCTGATTTTATACTTTTGAATTTGAGGCAAAATTTTTTCCCATTATGGAGAACAAAAATCCAACTACTTTTACAAGTCCCATATCGCTGCATTGAACTATGTATATGTAATTTTAATGTACTGGGGCTTCGTCATCTACCTATTATTTAATCTATATAGAATTTATAAATATCTCATTCAAATATTTTCACTGTAATAGCATTTGCTACGATATTGTATAATTCGACTGATAATCCGGTCTCTTCTAAGGACCTACTGTAATTAAAAAGTTCGAGAGGACGCCTGGTGAAGACTGAGTCTATTTTCAGGAGGGAGGAGCAAACAGGCCTTTGGAAATACTGGTTCTTAAGTGCCAGGTACTTTATATCCAGTATGTTTGGAAGGATCGTCCACCAGAGTAAATAAAGAATTTGAGGCCATTAACCCTGTATCGTAAATAAAGCTGGTGGTGCTAGTGGAAGATTCCTTACAAGAATCCAGAAAACTGGGTAATATTATTACTACCTGCCCCCCTTTAAACAGGTGAGGAAAATGAGACCCAGAGAAGCTAAGCAACTTGCCCACAGCCACCATGCTATTTGGTGGGGTGGATCAAGACTGAACCTGAACAACCCCTGAATCCATGCACTTTCTTCTGAACCACGCTGCTTCGTACAGGCTCCAAATACTCTAACACAGTCCTGGAAGCTTCAAAGAGCATAAAAGGGACTCGAAACCCTTGGGAAGGGGCAGGTATACATTTATAAAAATTCCCATGCCATGGGCTTTCCTTTGGAGGCTCGTTCTAGGTCAGCTCGAAGTCCTTGGGCCCAGTTGTATCTCCTAGTTAACCCTGGGAAGGCTTAGAAACACCAATGGAGCAGGACGGACAAGGGCTCATGAAGTGCGGTGAAAACACCTGGGCCGTGTAAGGCTAAAAAGCACTCAACAAGAAAGTCTGTTCAGAGCAGGCCATGAGACAATCAGTTCCTAAGGTAACGAAGGTTTATCAGGAGAGCCCGCCGAATTCATGGGTATTCTTCAAAATGCAAAAATTTAATAGTCTAATAAAATGATTATGAAACTCCAAGACTTACTCAGAGAGTTACTAGATAAAATATTTGCAGCTGAAATGAAACTGACTGTACTTTCCCCATCCTATGCCAAAAAACTTCCCAGCTTTCATTTTTGAAAACATTATATAGTAATGAAGCAAGGACAAAAAGTATTTGAAGTAATGGCAAACCATTTATTTATATGAACAAGTCTAAATATACTACTAATGATTTTACTTGATGTTCTGAAGTGAGATAAGTTATCAATACTGAAAAATATCAGTATTATCAAAAAGATAATAGCACATGGGGTTTTCAATACAGGCCTAGAAATCCCTAGTTAAGAGGAGTGAAAAAAAAGTCCTGGTAGCTACACTAACAACACTTCTCAAATCTGCTTCATTAATCCAACCATGTTAGTATCATAAATGATGAAATTAAAAGACTTACTAAAGAAAATTAGTATGTTTCAGTTCAACATCCCACACGCAATCCAAGTGTCCCTCTGCATATCCCAAAATGGAATCAAATAGTTACAGCAGGTCAACAAAGCCTTTGAAAAAAATCATTATACTGACTATTCTCCCTGACTGAAGACAAACTAACAGAATCTTGTGAAATGTGAATTTTGGACAATAATTTCAAATTAAAAGAAAGCAAAGCAAACCATTTTAAACCATTGCATCTTAGAAAGAGACAAAGGTGCAAACATAAAAGGAAGACACCACAGGCCACTAAAAGGAGCCAAAAAATATGCAATAAAGCTGGCAAGAGTCTCTGATGGCCAGTCACCTGCGATTTTCATCTAGCACATCCAAGATCTGCTGGTAAGCCCTACGAGTAGAGGACTGGATAAGCGACAAAATGCCACGAGCAGAGGAAAGATTAGCTCCATCTTCAGGTAGCATATGGGGAGGACAGACCCGAACCTGTTGTGGCGACGGTGTCACACTGTTTACACAAGCACAGTAAATGAAGAAAAAAAAAAAACACTCAAGTCAGATTTTTATAAAACTTCAGCTGAGCAGTTTCCCCACTTGTCTTTTCAGAATTACCTTCATTTTTGACCCCCTTTCCCACCCCCTTCACTTTCCCCTAGGAAAACAGTCAATCCAAATAAGTTAATATATTGTTTTAAAAGACCAGCTACAATGCAGCATCTGTAATTATGTAGCCTTAGACATAAAATTAAACAGACTATGAAAGAACAGCTTTGAAGAGGGAAGAGAACTACAGCAATGAGTGTGTCCAACCCCTAGCTTTGGAGGAGCAGCATTCTTCACTTGGTGTATATGTGCCAATTCAGTACACCAAACCTCTCACAAACAAACTGCACTGCAGCTTATGGATGGACAGGAGAATATGAGGAAGTTCTCATATATGGGTGTCAAAGTTTAAACACGAATCCAAAGTGATCCCATGAAAATGCCATTTCAAATACTTTACAAAGAAAATGAAGCAAGCTAAATTTATGATGAGTAAATTTAAAGATGAGTTCAAGTTTCAGAAAGCTGTAACAAAAGTATTTTGATTTCTGAATTATATTAAAAGCATATGATGTCTAACTAAAAGACTAGACATAAAACTACTCCCAATTCTGTGAACACAGTGAAGGAAGGCAAAGATATCTTTTAAATTACCCAGACGGATGGTAACCAGCCATTTCTGGGCCTCTCAGTGACAGTAATCTTACATTGTTTCACGTCTGGGCTGAGAGTCACTATTTCTTTGGCTCCGCGGCCAGTGCTTCTTAAAGCTGAACACATTTGAATGGAGCAATTTTAGTTCTAACCTAAACTCTTTAGATTGGTGTCAGCACAATCATCTGGTTGAGGTATTTAACTGATACATGGACTTGGCATCTGGTTTGTTACAATAAGAGGTTTTGTTATAAAAGGACTAGACTCTGGGATGCCAGCTCAGCACTTTTTCTCAAAGTCAGGGCAAAACACCTTAGACTAAACCTCATCCTTGTGTATTACACCCAAAAGAATGAAAGTGGAGCAGACAGTGAACAACTGAAAAGAGAAAATCTTTTATTTTGATGTATAATCTTTTCTAAGTTAACATGTATTTGTTTGAGAACCACAAAATAAACGGGTCAATTTTTGAAAGGACAGCTGTCATCTAATATTATTCTCAGAGTCCCAGAAAATCAAAATCAAAATCTTCTCCACAATTTTGTGAATAAGTGAATGTCTTCGTGAGCCAAAGTGAGAAGTACAATAAATACGAAAATCATGTTTTTCAAAGATGACTTAGAAGATCTAAGCCAAATCTTGGCCTACTGAGAAATTAATCTGTCAGACTGAGTCGCCATAGGAATTAGGCCTAACAGTGTCAAGATAAATACAAATTTTAAGAGGCAGGCTAATGGACAGTTACCCTAACTATCCATTCAGAGGCCAGGAATCTTCTGGTATGTACATAAGCCAACTTATCAACTGAGCCATCGTATTTGACAAAACCCATACTGGGCATCCAAGAAGAGTAACAAAACAGTATATATGTACACAAAGTCCAGTACGAGTCTTGCACTCAGAATTCCCTTTAGGTGGCACAGGAAAAACCTGAAGCTCTTGCTCTTTGCAAGAAACCAGACTGAATTCACGTTAGAAAAGTGTCAGAAGAGGCAGGAATAAAAATGGACAGTTCTGTGTCAACATAAACAAACAATACATCCCTCATTCTTCTTGACAGAGCTGCCAACATACCTGGCAAAATTTACTTAAGCAAGTTTTAATAGACAAATGAGTGTACTATCTATTGATATAATTCAAGTTTTTGTCTTCGTATTTTGGTGCTTAAATTGAACACTCCTGCATATCACTGTATATTAGTAAGTAAATTAGCCACATATCGATGTATTAAAATCTACAATGATCCATATTTAAAACAATTTTATAACGTCAATAAACTAAAGCCAAATCCATGAAAAAAGTTTGATAGATTTTTGCCCATTAAAAATTAAAAGGAAAGAAGACTTACTTCCTTTGAGAGAAACAAGTTTGTCAGAAAAAGCAACAGGAATTGTTTAAGTTCTAAAAGTACAAGTATTTCCTGCCTCTGTACAGGAAATCAGGTGCATTTATAAAGTAGTCAAGCATAAACTAATTTCAAATTAACTGCTAAGAATTCTTAAGCCAAAATGTACAGAAAGTTAAGTCTATGAGGTCTCTTCCAATTCTAAGATTCTATGATACAATATTGAAATATGGTAATAAATGGGGAAAAAACTTACATGATCCTCAATTGTAACTTAAAAATATTTATGTAGAAAGATAAAAGACAAAATTAAGTCTTTATCAATACTAGCCAAGATATTTATTTCATCAAAGACAAACACAAAAACATATTTGGATTGCCAATGGTGTCTCAAAAGAAATTAAACTTTCAAAGATTAGGAAGAAATTTTAACTTTTTATTAATTTATATGGCCATCCTTCATAAATAACAAAAACAGAATAGGAAGTAGTTTTGAAACTGATGACAACTTTGTGCACTTTGTGTCCAGGTTAAATGCCCTTGGTTAACACTTGTTTCCATCTACAAATGAATTAAATGATTAAATCATAACATGACCAAAATGACCCTAACTAGAAGTGTAAATACTTTAACAACTTTTTTAAAGCTTCAAGCAGTCTTGTAAGTCTTGTTACAAATAAACAAATTGAAGAACAAAAAAAGAAGAAGCCCGATTTTAGCAATCAGTCTGATGCTAGCTGGAATGGCTACCACTGACTGGCATCAACTGTGAGGGCAACAGTGAGTGCTTTTATAGTTGAGTTGGATCTCGGTCCACTCAGCCACCCAACCAAGGTAGAATAACTTTGTTTTCTGTTTTGACAAGTGAACTACTTGAAAAATAAAAAAGTAAACATAGTGCAAAGGTGCTGAGATCATTTAAGCAAATATAATATTAGTAATTTAATAAAAATGCGCTTTGATGATAAATTGATCCTAGTAATGTTATAAAACAGCAAAATCTCAACTTTATCTTTTTCTTTTATAAAAGATTAGGAAACTTGGAAGAAAGCACTGATGTTTTCATGTTATTTCATTAGTAATATCTCATGCTTCCATGAAATCTTACAACATGAATGTTAAGTAAACAACACTAGCCAATGTCAAAACTCAAATGTAAATGAAGATTTACGTGGCATGAACTGTCATTATCAGAAGGTAAGTCCAAAGTCCAGTACCTCTTTCCCCATGGGTTTTCATAGGAATAATGTTTCTCAAACTGTGAGAATAACCTCTTTAGTGAGGCTCCAGCCTCTTCCAAAAAAACAGTAAAGGTAAAATAGAGAAAAAGGGGAGGAAGAATTTTCACTGCAACACAAATTTGAATCATTTCTCTTAAAATTCTAAACAGAGAAAACTTTTAATTTGTTGCCACTATCTAAGGCAATTTACTAGTTCCTAGAAGAATGGAAGAGAACCAGAATAAAAGTCATCAGTTGTCAGAATGGCTTTTGTTGCTTAAGAACATTAGTTCTTGAATTCTTTATTGAACACCAAAATCCCCCCATTGGCTTAAGGATCTGAAAACATTCTTCCAAGCATAATTTTAATCTATGAAATAATAATAATAATCATAAAAACTTCAATGACAAACCACACTTATACTACATTCTCCTGGGTAAAAATAAAAAGAAAAGATAGTGTACTAAAATTTAAAAAAAGATTGGGATCACTGAACCTGGTTCAAGTTGAATCTGCAGAGAATATGCTAACCAATGCAAAACAAAAAAAAGTGGAGGGTCAGCTGAGTGGCTCAGTTGGTTAAGAGCTAGCTCAAGAGTGCGACCTCTGAGCAACAGTGGTTGGAGTCCTGGCCCAAGCTGAGCTGCCAACAGGTGGCAGGATGGCTCAGCTAAAAAAAACCCAAAAACCCAAAAACAACAACAAAAAAAGTGGAAAAGGATGCTTGATCCTTATAAGTAAATTATTCCATTTTATTTTCACCTTATATCTAAAATCATACATAAAACTCCCTTCGTTTGTCTAGTAATTTTTTTTCTTAACAAAGTGTATGATGACAGTTTGAGAAATACTGAAATAGAGGTACCAAAAAGCCAAACAGTAAGAGAATTAGGATATTACATGGCAATTACCTGGTGAAATATTAGTAGAACACCTGCAAAATTAAAACAACTCCTACTTGTGAAAAGCAGAGCAGATAAAATCTTACGTGTACTCCGGTGCAGAAATCGGTGCCTGGAACCTTGAAATTTTATTTCTTGGGGCAGAATCTGATCTGTGCCACCTTAAATAATAATTATGCTTCTTTTACATATTCAGCTTTTATAACACAAAGAAAAAGCTAGATACGATTCTACTGGTCAGAATTCATTTTTGTATCTATAGCTGACCATAATCAATCCCACTGTCTCTTGAAAGTAATTAAGAAAACAAAGGCCAGTGCTCTTGCTCTCATATCCATATGTACTTCTATTCTTACAGCCCAGGAATAAAAGTAAAGGCAGGCAAAGTTCATGCACAACGACATATAATTAGTTTCACATTACAAAGACTAAAGTAGGTAAAGAGTTTAATAATTACTTTAGTAGAGGTAAAGACAGCTCTATTATATTAATAGTTTCTTCCTCACCACACTACCAACATTGAATACACCATATGCTCATTATATAAAATTCCTAAAGTGAATTAAATGTAGATTCTTAAAGATGAATTCAATTATAAATTGCAAAATTAATAATGGTAGGAGAAGAAAAGGCAAGGTTATATTATTTACAAACGGATGGTTAAGTATCTTACCATGGCATGGTAACATACATAACTACCATTAACAAAAAGTACAGTTAAATAATGTAAGCATTTCATTGTGAAAATATAGAGTTATATATTCATGTTATTTTTACTACCAAAAATTAAAATACGAGATTTTCAGTTTTATTCAACATCTAGAAAATGCCATTAAGGCAACTTAAAGAAAAATAAGTAAATCAAATATTGGTTAACTCTGTTAATCTTTTGTTATGAAAAACTTATGTTATTGGTAACTGCAAAAATATATATGAACTAATCATATATTCTAAATCATACACTAGGCTGGTTTTTATAAGTAGAGCTGTTTCCTTTCTTTTTAAACAGAATTCAGCTATCAATAATATATACTTTGTGAGAAAAAAACACCAAAAGAGATGCTATACTTTGTATATAAAATAGACCTGTTTTTAATTTAGTAATGTAAAATTTCAAAGTAATAAAAGACCCAAATAAGCCCTATCTTTACATAATAAAAAAATTTATTAGAAACCTTTGCTGCCTTAAAAAAAATTACAAATAGAAAATAACAAAAGCCCTTAGGTTCTGTTTAATCATTCTGAGAGGGTCCTAAGTACCAAGAAGCTACCTGAGCCAAAAAGCATGGAGCGTTTTCACTGCTTGCACAATACACTTAGAAAGTCTGAAGATGACATGAGCTGGCTGACATCACTGCCAACCAGGTACCTTCGGGGAAACATACAGTTATCATAAAAAGTTTTATATTAATAATGGTTGAAGACTTCAGAAAAGTCTTCCCTGAAGGAGATACATAGTAATTTTAACTTTCCATCTTCCTATATAACCCTTTATAATAACTGTAACTATTGTACTTTAGGGGACATTTCAAGATTCTCCCAGGAATCAAAGTTATAGTTCTTCTTTGCACTTAACACAAGAGAAGAGAGGCCGTATGTCCCTCAAAGCCCTTTCTGCATCCCTGTGGACCTTTAGTCAGGTCCAAACTAGAACTTAATATGGTTTAATACAAATGGTGTAATCCTATTATGCTCTAGTTATTTTGTATATAAATTTAAATGTTTTGCTTTTATCTAGATTTGCAAGCTCTAAGAAGAGAGATATGTATCATCTAATTCTTTTACAGTTCCCAGAGAAGCTAATATAATGTTTGGCATCAAATGTGGATCATGATAAATGAGTTCATGATAACTGACCAAAAATTTAATGAGGAAGAATATTACTTTACATTATCTAAATCATCTATTATATTTTTAAAAATCCACAATCTCCAGTGACTTTGAGACTTAAAAATTCTAACCAGTTTTTAAAAGGTTATTTTATTGTAAAAAACCCGTTAGTTTTAATAAACCAACAAAAAAGCACTTGACTGATCTAAAACATAGTGGGGTAGCTTTCAGATCACAGCATGATAATATAACCAAATGAGAAAGAAAGGTTTAAACAAATAGTTCTTTAAACAATATACTTGTATTTTTTGAAAATGAAAGGGATCTAATAATCCAATGACTCAGTGGGCAGAGAGCAAAACAAAATAATCCTGGAAAGGAAAAAAATTCCACTTGCTTATGCTACACATGGTTCATGAGAAGCAGAGTGGAAAGGGCTAGTTCACAATCTTATGACAAATTGAGTAACTTGGAAATTTCCTTAAATAAAGTGTTTTCCTTTTAGTTACCCTACATGCTAGATAAACAGTTCTGAAGGACGCACAGAACTGAGCACTTAAAAGTATCCATTTTTCTTAAGATAGAAGATTCCCAAAATAAGCAAATCATTGCTTATTCTGAAAACTTACAGAAGTCATACACACAGAAGAAAAATTCTCACAACAAAATGGTCAGATTTTAAGGCTATAAATAGTATTGCAATAATATAAAATTGATATAAATGCAGAACAGATTTCAAACACAATTAGAAGTAAATTATTTACATTTTTTCTCAGGTTCTTAGGCATAAAACATATGTTCTTTTTAATATTTGGAAGTTAAAAAAAAAGTGAATTATTTAGAAAAAGATGGGACAGACACTATATAGAGAGAACTTATGAAGAAGAGACAATGCTTAGTGGTCCTACTCACATGGAATCAGTTCTGACCAGCTGTCCGTTTTGGCGAACAGCATTTTCACTCATAGAGCGCTCTCTTTTTAGCCTACCGGCACGGACCTGCCAGGCAGAGAAAGGGAAAGGGATAGAAAAGATTCTTATTGGCCTAGTAGCTGTTTAGCATCCAAAGAAACTTAATTCAAGGCTACTCACAAAATTTACAAAGAATTACTGCTAGGTATGTGTATTATAGATAGATATGTTAAAAAAAAACGTACTTACTATAATGCAGATAAACTTAGGAATGCTTACTTTATAAAAAAGTTTACATCTGGTTTCTTTTTAAGTATCAATCTTACTTGGTACAATTATTAATATTTTTGTTATAACTTACATAAACTATTATTTAAGAACAATTCCCAACAGTTTTTAAAGGCACATGTATTATAGGAAACGGGAGGTACACGAATTTGTATCACAAATCCATGTTCCTGGCTTCCGGGGTTAAACAAATTTGGACTTGGTGGGACAGCTGAAAACTAGACTAGAAAACTGGTCTTACTGGCTGAGTTTTGGCATTCCAGAAATAACCACAGTCTCCCATCCCACATGCCCTTCTGACAAATGTATCATCAGCCCCCTTCCATTAGGGGAGGATCTGTTTCCTTCCCTTGAAACTGGGTGGGCTGGTTACTGCTGTAGAGATGATGAAATGCAACTTCTGAGGCTTGGTCATAAACAACGTTTCTGCCTTTTTTCTCCAGACTATTCATGTTTGGAAAAATGGCCCGATGATGTGAAGAAGCCCAAGCAGCCACACAGAAAGGCCATATGTGAGTGCACCAGCCAACAACCCCATCTGGGGTCCCAGACAACAGCTATATCAACTGACCTGTGAGTGAGTAAGCCTTCAGATGGCTGCAGCCTCAGGCTGTCAAAGCATCCCTCGTCTTTGAGACTTCCTAGCTTAGGCCCATATATTGTAGGAAACAAGTTTTCCCCATTATGTTTGCTGCTTTCCTAACCCACAGAATCCATGAGCAAAATAAACAGTGCAGCCACTGTTTCGTGACCCCCTAACCATTACAATGAAGCAGTCACTCCTAGTCCCCTCTCCCCTAAGCCCCTGGTAACCATTAATCTGCTTTCTACCTCTGGATTTGCCTATTCTGGACATTTTATGTAGGTGGAATCCATACAATAAATGGCCTTTTCTGTCTGGCCTCTTTGACTTAACATAACGTTTTCCAGGTCCATCCATGTTGAAATATGTATCAAGACTTCATTCCTTATTAGGGCTGAATAATATTTTACACCATATTTTGCTTATCTGTTCATCAGGTGACGGACATGTGGACTGTTTCCACTTTTTGGCTTTTAAAGACCTGTTTGAGGGCCGGCCGAGTGGCGCATTGGTTAAGAGCTGGCTTGGGACGCCAGAGGGCCCCGGTTCGGATCCCACATATGAGGGCCAGTGACACTGCCCTCTACAGCTAAGATGCTGAACAACAGCTCAGCTTGGAGCTGGGCTGCCATGAGTTGCCGGCAACAACGTAGGCTGCAACCCCTGCTGCAGTGGGTTACGATGGGCTACCGTGTGTAGCCAGCAGCCAGCGTGAGCGGCCCTCAAGCCGCCGTGAGCGGCCGTCCAGAAGCCGGCGACTGATCTGCCTCGCCTGGGAAGAGCGCAATGATGGTGCCAACTTGGGCCAGTGAAGCAACGTCCTCCACAACTAGACTGAAGAACAAAATCACAGCAACTTGTCTGTTCCCATCCCCCAATTCCCCAATTAAAAAAAAAAAATAAAGACCTGTTTGATCTTCATGACTTGGAGGATGCTATTGGCATCTAGTAGATAGCGATCAAGAATGTCGTTAAACATTCTACAGTACAAAACGACAGCCCTCACCACCACAAAGAATTATCCAGCCCTAAATGTCAATAGTGCTGAGGATGAGAAACCCTGAAGATGCTGTAAAATGACTACTACAGAGTAAATGATGCAGGGATCTCACTTGTTAGATTTTGAGTAACATCTGAATGAATCACCAATGTTATCAGCACTCAAGGCCTTACTGCCCTTCTTTAGATCCATTTTCTAAAAGCTACTAGAATTCTGGTGCCTTTCTCCTCTGCTCATTGGTTGGCTGCCTCCTGAGGGCCTCCTGACCCTTTTACAGCCTTGAATCACCATCATTGTTGCCTTCAATAGGCAGCTGGTACTAAACTCAGAAACTCCTCTCTCGCATCTCAGGATTTGGCTCCTGACACAGGATTTTAACTTTCATACCAACAATATTTATATATATTGTGTTTTTAATGGGAATTAGAAAACAGGCTAAACACATGCATTATTACATTTAATTCTCAATACTCTTAAGCACCTGGCATTATTTTTATCTTTCTTTCATAGACATGCCTTGGAATTGTTAAATAACTTGCCCAAAGTTACATGGTTAGTAAGTAGCAAAGTAGGCCTTCAAAATTAGAATAGGTCTAATTCTCAGCCTTAGTTTTTCACCCCGGTGTTATACACTTTGGGCATTTGTCACATTTGAGTAAATATCACAATTACTGCAGGAATAAACCCCATATCGGCTTAAAACCTTGGTCTACTGAGGGTGATCCTGGTAAACTTTTATTCCTCACTCAGTCTTAGAGTAATCAAAGTATTTGGCTTGTTTTCAATCAGTTCTTCACACCAAGCAGGCATAAGTGTCTAAAACAGTGGGTGTGGAAAGATCAAAAGAAAAACAAAGCCAGAAGAATATCAAAGGGAGGGTTTCCCTGCTGGCAGAATCCTTTAGCCCAGGACCACACTATTCATAGCTACAATTACCAGTGGAAACTCTGGGGGGCTGGGAAGCTGGGCCTCCAACTGGGAGCATGCTGTGAGATCTTTTGTCTCCTGTAACATCTTTGTAACTTTCATTATTCCTTGCTACTAAAGAACTGTATATCTTCTGTGTGTACTGCTGTTTTCCTCACTCATACCACTACAGGGAACTACGTCTTACCACATAGTGTCTTACAATAAAGCTGAATGTCCAAACCAGCAACTATGAATACATTTTCCCCGTACCTAATACTAGGAAACTGCACTCCCCTATGTTACATGGGTCCTTTACCTTCTTTGGAAAGGACTACATGAAAAATGAAAGACACAGACAATTTCATTACCAATAAAAACACAGGTTTTACATTTTCTCATACTCGCCTCATGACAACACAGAATTCCAGAAGCTACAATGTAATGAAAAAGTTGCAACTACAGAAATCATCACAGAAAAGAAGCTTCACAAGACCCGCCCTCAATCAATGGCAGAGGCAATATCTAGAGTTTGCTTCGAACACCTTATTAGTCCATACTGCTATATTTAGGTCAACAGGGCTATCAATGTTTACACGGTACAGGAACTGACTCAGCAGAAACTTTTCAGCAAGCAGGGAGAATAGACAGTGTCAAGAGAAAAAAGAGCTTTCTCTGCCTGTCTACCAGGCTGCTTTTGTAACCAAGTGATGCATTAATTTTCTCCTGTGTTAAACTTTCCAACTTTCTCTGTACTGCTTAAGGTGTGGTGCCTAGTTCATGATTTCCACAGAAGTTTCTTTTTCCTGAAACATAATATTTTAATTAAAAAAGAAAACAGTAGCAGAATGTTATTCGGGTATCTATAAACCAGAATTTATAGCAATCAATGGTCTACTCAAAGCTTACATTATATATTGCTAATGATATGATTTATAGCCTCTTAACTAATCTTCAACTTTTGCTTTTGTCTATATTATTTCAAATTCAGCTGATGTTAAAACTCTACTTACTTCTTCATTTTGAGGGGTTGGAGGAGGTCTTTCTAAATCCAGAAAATCTAGTGGTCTTTCACTTAGTGTAAGTACACGAGGTGGTGTTTTTAGTGACAGAGGTTTAAGGGAAGTTGACTGAATGAGGTCAAGATCTGCTGGCCTTGAAAATGGAATGTCTTCATTATTTCCTGGGTGTAAAAATATAAAAAGAAGGGAGGTTTTAAAAAGCTAGTACTTTATTAAAAAGACTGACAATACAAAATGCTGCCAAGGATATGAAGCAACAGAAATTCTCATACATCACTGATGGGAATATAATAGAGTACAACCAATTTAAAAAATAGCTTGACAGCTTTTTATAAAGTTAAACGTAACTTATAATATGATCCACCAATTCCACTTCTAGAAATATAAAAACTTTATTCCTAATAGCCCCAAACAGGAAACAACCCAAATGTCCATCAGCAGGTGAATGGACAAACTGTAGTATATCCACACAGTGGAATATTACTCAGTAATAAAATGGAATGAACCATTGATATAAGCAACAATATGAAAGACTCACAAAAACATTAAACTAAGCAAAGGAAGCCAGATCCAAGAGTATGTGCTGTATCATTCCATCTACATGAAACTCTAGGAAAAGACAAATCTAGTCTCAGGTTATTGAAAGATTATGGTTGCCTGGAATTGAGGGGTAGGAACTGAATGAGATTGGGCACAGGGGATCTTCTGGGGTAATGAAAATGTTCTATATCTGGACAGTGGTGGAGGTTACATGGATGTATAGGTTTGTCAAATCTCATCAAGCTGTACACTTAAAAATTATACTTTATGTATGTAAATTATACCTCAATAATTAGTGGAACTATTAAAAACTATTGGTTAAGATTCCAGGCTATTGAAATGAACAAAAATTTTGAAAAAAAATGCAAAGTTGCATTTCCCAACCCCTTTTCAAAAACCCAAAAGTTTTCCTAAAAATATATGAAACACAGATATATCAGGCAAGTTTATAACTAGAGGTAAAATACCTGCTACGACAATCCTCTCTGGAACCTGCATAATCACACTAGCATGTGGAACACCATCTTGGAATTCTTGTTCCAGGTCAGCATTTGGTGGTGCGACCTTTAATTTTTCCGGGACCCTCATTCGCTGACTAATACCTTCAGTGTATTCCATTTCATACTGAATTCGACTAATTTCTGCCATCTCAGCAGCAGTGGGAGAAGGAAATGCTGCCCCACTCACTCTGTGGGCAAAAAAATTAAAGACGGGGTAACTGACTGTTAAAATGTCAGTCTTCTCTATGTAGCAAAGTAGAAGACAATACCTTACTGAAAGAACAAAAGGAGGCTTCTCATTTGTGACTACTGAATACATACAAAGGAAAAGTCAAGGACTAAAGAAAATGTCTTCTTCAACACACTGCCTTCTCCCTTATCAGCTGAAACTGCACCTTGAGAAGATTGCTTAGGAGCAAATTTTAAAAATGACTGTATAACCACAACACAAGTGTGCAAGCACACACATATTCATTCTCTCTCTCTCTCTACATAGACATGCATGCTGCTTATAACTCAAAAATGCCTGAAATAAAACTTAAATTAAAATGTCCTAATCAATTATCTGAAGAAAAGCTGCTAGCACTTTATAATAGTGAAATTCAAAATTGCTGTCATGCATGAAAAAAATAAAACCTTTTAATGAAAATCAGATGTATAAGGCAAATAAGATTAACTTTAAATTTACTAATAAAGATGCAACCCCCTAAAAATCACAAAATACAAATTAAAACTTCTCTTGCTGAATGTATATCTGATGACTGAGATGCAATGAATACCCAATATAGTATATTATTAATAAATCTTTACTGTATACATTCATCTTGAGGGATTGAAAGTCTTACATTAATTTGTATTTAATGTCATATTTACACGTATATTTTTAAAAAGAATGACATGCCTTTAAGGGGAAAGACAGTACAGATGCACTGAGTAGCCTTTTAAATTAGAGAAGGATCCATGCTCCAGGGAAATGCAGCAGAAAGAAAGTTGCCCCCAAATGCAAATTGCCGATAAAAAACTTAAAAGAGCATGGTTGGCCCGTGGCAATCCACTCTACAGCACTCTCTCTCATTTATAATACCAGCTCAACTCAATAAAATGTCACTGACCTTCCTATTGGTGTGTCACTGCTTTTTCTTTTACTCATTTTTAATACAGTAAATACACGTCTATAATAGCTATTAAAATACTGCTACCCTGTCGTTTCAGTTTACTTTACACAACAATTCCCCTATAGATCTGAACTTTTTTGGAGGTGTACATAACAACACGGACACTGCTTTTCCAGCTGTAAAAAAGAAAGAATAAAAATCAGTATTTCAACAATTCACTTTATAAGAAAACTATGAATAAAAGTAAATATCTACTTAAAGGTTTTGGATTTCAACAAGGCTTGGGGCTTGACCTGAGTAATTTATCTTCAAATCTCTCCTAAACAGTTATTCTATACCTCAAACATCATAAAGACGGTTTCAAGCATAGCCAATGTTTTATGATTTTGCCAACGGGATAAAGAAAAGCTAATCAAATGTATATACAAATGTAAAGTCAGATTAGAAAAAAAAATTTGCCATAAAACTCCTGTACTCATATTCTGAAGGGGAAAAAAAATCTTCTTTTTTCAACTAAGTACCAATGAAGAAATCAAGGAGCCAAATGTGAAGAGCAGACGTAAATGGGTTTTGTTGTTTTTCTGGAAGGGTAGAAGGGAGAAAGGGGCGTAAATGTGTTTGAGGTAGCCTAAAAATTTGATGTATAAGTAGTAATGTTTTTTTAAAAGGAAATAACTGAAAACCAAATCATACTAAATTTTTAGCAAAAGCTATTATATATAAAACAAGGGCAATCAAAAATCAAGGACAGTATAATTGCAAGTCGTAGCTGGGATATTTCTTAAGCTCCACGTCAGCAATGTATTACACACCTTCAACTCCACCTCACTGAGAGGCTTAGGAGAGTTCTTAGCTAGAGGCTGGTAGGGACAACTAGTTAAGTCATGACTGCTAACGTACTTCTTTTCTTCTTCACCAAAATGTGAATTTTAAAGATATGACATGCAGTTTGTATAAAAGACTAAGAAAATAGAGCCAAAAGAGGAAATTTTTACTCACAAACGTGCACCAACTACTACTTGCTATTTGGCACTATCTGCTTCTGTGCTTCATATTAAATCCTTGAGCTTGTTTCAATGTGCACGTGCTGGATTTAGAGCCACTTTTGTCCCTGGGGGAGAAAAACAGGGGCTAATTGAGAAACTAGATGATATCATACTAGGAATTCATTGCTGGAAAAGTTTCAAATGATAAAAGTCATTAAAGATACACAACCTTACATTAAAAAAACCAATAAAATAAAAAAATTAACAAGCTTACCACCAAGTTTAGTCTCACAGACAGGGCCTTACAACCATTCATTAGTTAATGCAAGACAAAATAAAAGACTGTCATCATTTCTGATTTGAATTTAGAAAAATGTACCAGATGAAAAATATGTTTTAAATAATCTGAACACTTATGTATATACATATAAGTGTATATATACATATGTACGTATATACAGAGGGTGCCAAGAAAATGTATACACATTTTAAGAAAGGAAAAGTGTATTAAAATTGTAATACTAAATATATACCGATAACAAAAGATGAACACAAGTCACGTTTGACTTCTGCAATGACAAGAGGTGCTCAAAGTGGTTACCATCAGTGTCCAGACACTTCTGATGACGGCGAACTACTGCTTGAGCAACGTTGACCAAAGTGTCCACTTCTACACATTTTTTTGGCACCCCAGTATATTAAGAAGAAACAAACGCATTGGCTAAATTTTCATTCAGCTATTTCTCTTCAGTATTTAATTTCATTCAGTAATCTAAACCAGTATTAGGTGCACATGGTACAAAGTGTAAGAACATACAGAGAAAATAAAGTGCCCCACCGGATCCTATCCTATAACCACTGGGGACCCCCCCACGCAACCTCTATTATCAACTTTTGTGTATCATTCTAGATGAGATAATTTTCCTATACTTGCATCTGACCCACAGTGAAAGTTTATATTCAGAAATAACACTGAAAAGAGGTACCTCAAAGGATTATAGTCTTGGGACATTACAAATTGAAGTTTTATAATAAATAAGGGATGCAAATTGCTAGAACACGATCTCCCCCAAATGTGCTACTCTCCATGCTCCATTTACCGCATTTCCACGAGTACAGCCCACGATCTCAACATTTCATTCTATAGCAACATCCTGCCTTACAAGAATCTCTGAGTTTGTAAAGTATCACAGCCTCAGATCATAAAGGCAGACACTGAAAAGACCATTTCTAGAAAAAGCCAAATACTCCGGGGTAGCCAATTTGAGCTACTTAAATTAAAAAAGTAAATGGAACTTTTCCTGCTAAGATTTAACACTGAACTGTTCCAATAACTAGGTTTCTGCATAGGTAAAATAGATCAAAATCTCTTTTTTTCCCCTCCCTCATTAGACTGGCATTTTTGGTAGTACCTTTCAGCAATAAATAAAATAAAGTTCTCATTTGGAGTTAAGATATTAATTCCAGAAGTTTTGTCACAATCTACTAGGCAACCAGTACTAATTCTGTTACATAACTAAGGAGACAAAAACCCTCTCAGAACCACAGATGAGCTGAGATCTCTACTTTCTAAGTTTAGTGGTTCCCAAATATCATTAACTTACCAACTTCATGTTTTTTTTTCCATATTCACACAGTACATTTACTCTCAGCTACACTTAATCTTTTAATTCAGCTTTAAAAAAAATCTTAAATAAATGTATTTTAAAAGGAAACTTTACCTTAAACTATGGTTTAAATATATATAACAAAAACTATTACAAAAAACTCTCATCCATATACCACTTAGAGTCAAGTCACCTTCCACTCATGGAAAGTGTCCCAGTTTAGGGACATCATTCAAGCTTGACTTTCTCATTTTTTATATTAGAACACTGGGACCCAGGAAAAAAGACCGAGGAAGTTACAGACACAATTTGGGTCAAGTTGATTGTGGTTGCAAAGATTTACATAATTCTCAAACTACAAAAAGAAATGTCCAGTTTTTTATCACCTCTCGTGTGGACCAAGTTCAAGGTTTTTATCTGGGCCACCCTGTTTCAGTTCTTTTCAAGCAACTATACGTAAAGAACGTGTATATTAGCAAATCAGGGTGTAGAGACCCAGGATTAATTTTAGTTTTTTCAGAACAGTCACTGAAAACTTGGGAAAATATAAACTACCAAATTTTAAAACAAGGTTATATGAATCCACAGAAAACAAGTCTGAACACCAGAAGGGGGGAGAGGAACAGCTAAACTTTGCAATCCTAAAATGAGGCAGCCCTATCCAACAGGAAGGGATAGAACACACAATTTCCTTTCGGACAGAAGAGCAACACCAATTCACAAGCCTTTGACACCAAGCAGATAGCAGGTCCCCCACACAACTTAATTACATGGGAAAAAAACCCACGAAGTGCAACTAAATGATTCTCATTCTTTCCAAATTCATTTTCCTAAGGGGTTTTCCTTTGTGATCTCATTAGCTAATGAAATTGACAGAGAAACAAATGTTTTTCATCTAGGGAGAGAGAACATTTTAAGATCCTTCAGTTCAAGAGGCCCGGACACAGCTGACTCTATCTTTGGAAAGAAGGGCCCCCAGGCGTTTCTGATCTTCCGCAATTAACAGACGCCCCGACTTTGGAACCCCCCCCCCCGCACCCCCCGGCGAGGATGCCCCTGGCTCTAACACCGTCGGTCGCAGCCGGGGGCCTTCCTGTACAGGAGGACTCGTCCTTCCGCCTGAGGTCAGAGGCTGGGCAGTGTGGGGACCCGAGCTCGCCCCCGCGGCATGCAGTTCCTGGAAGGCAACCCAAGGAGCACGTCCAGGCATCCACACCTGCGAGCGAGGATGCTCACAAGGGCCTACCTGGGCCTCCCGCAGGCCTTTCCTTCCCAACACGTATTTTCCACAAAGCAGAAATACAAACACAAAACGGCGTTTAAAGACGGCAGGTGGATGGTTCAAGGTCACACTGAAAAGATGCCAGGGCCTAGGCGGGGAGGGAGGGAAGACAAGCAGAAAAGCGCCGCCGTGTTCAAGCTCGGGACGCCCGGAGGGGCTCGCAACCCGCAAACCATTTTCTAGACGAAAAAAGTCCAAATTCATCGACAAAAAGACACCGAACTAAAAAAGGGTCAAGAAGCTTAGTCCCAAAACGTTTGCAGGTCAGTGTGCTGCTCCCCCTTGCGGTCCCTCCGCAGGGACTGCGGGCGCGACAAGCCCCCTGACAGGGCGTAAAGCCCACGGCTGAAGGCGAGAAACCCGGGGGGTCGGGACTCCCGCCGGGACTCCCGCGGGTCCCTCCGTCTGCCGGAGGATCACGGCCGCCGCGCTAGGCCGCGGGTGCCGGGTCGGGAAGACGCCAGTGCTCACCCCTGGGCCCGCTGGAGGGTCCCCGGCGAGGGCCGCCACCTGCCGGCTCCCGGGACGCTCGGGTGGGCGCTCTCAGAGGCCGTTGGCGGAGCGCATGGAGGCAGCCGGGATGAACACCGGCCGGAGCGGCCCGCAGCTGGCCGGGAGAGACACGCGAGCGGCCGGGACTGGCCCCTTCCGGGACCCGTAGCCGAGGCAGCTCCGTGGTCACGTGACGCGGGGGGGGGCGAACGTGAGACCCACGTACGAGAGCGGGGGCCGTGACGCGGCGCGCTGGGCGCGCCTCGGCTGCCGTCGTGCACCGATCGCAGGGAAACGTTTCACGGTGAGTGTTTGGTTCACACTTATTAGAGTTTGTGTTCTTTACGGACACTTTGTTTACAGGTAAACCTTCCGTGGCCAGTTAAAATAACAATTTTTCGGGACTCCCTGCATCCAAATATCTGGTGTGTGTGGCCTAGGAACCTGCCGATGTCACCAGCACTGCAGGTGATACTTAAGCGCTCTGATTTTGATTACTTTTTTTTTTTTAAGCTGAGCCATCCTGCCACCTGTTGGCAGCTCAGCGGCTGCTCAGCTCCAGCCGGGACTCGAACCGCTGTGATTTTGATGACTCTTGAAGCTCTGTAACGCTCAGACATCTTCCTTAACAGGGATCGCTACTCTGACTGGCTCCACTAATCCTTCAAGATGAGAAACCCCGACAAGAAGTTCGGTTTCACTGTAGTTAGCAGCCTCGCTAAGCTTCCAAGAGCTCTCCCTGGGCCTAAACATCTGATACTAACTTTGGGGGGGGTACGGGGGGGGGCGGAATCAGCCTCCTGCCCACCACCGTTGGGACGGACTGAAGCCACGTCACGGGATAACTTTGTCTGATTTTAACAAACAGCTGAACGAAGACACAGGAGTCTGGTACTTCGCTAGAATCTAAAGATAGTTCCAGAGATGTTACAATTCTTCAAAATATTTTGGGAGGCCCTCTGAGAATTGCGTTTTTGGGCCCCTTCTTTATAGTGGCAAATCATTCTTCTTTAAGAATAGATTTATTTAATAGATTTATTAACCATTCCAAGCTAACCTTTTGAGAGACGATAGGGACCAAGCTGGGTATACCATCTGTGACCAAAACCTTTCTAAGTGAGTTCCCTACTAGTTCCATGAGTGCCTCTTAATTACTTGGCGGGGCCCCCCACCCCAAGAAAAAACTTTTAAATGAAGATTGTGTGGACAAAAAAAGGGTGGAGAGTAACCTCACAGGGTGATCTGAGCATAAATTTCTAACTGGGCACAGGTCATGGTGGGTAGTCACACTCCAGGCATATAACTTCTTTTTCTTTTTTAAAAGATTTTATTGGGGAATTGGGGGAGGGGGAAAGTGTTGGGGAATGGGGGGAGGGGACCAGCAAAGTTGTTGTTCTTCAATCTTAGTGTGGAGCGCGCCAGTCGCCATCTGGCT